TGTGCATACATATTTTTTCGATTTACGCAAAATACACCACACTAATATTTGCGCAAATACAAATTAGTACAAATAAGATTTTTTCGAATTCTTATTCGATTCTTGCTTGCACTAATTGGTATTTGCGCAAATATTTTTTATGGTATATACGCACGTGTTTTAATCCCCTACAATCAGCTATTACAAATGCGATTTGATAACTCAGTAACTTTTTGAATGAACTGCATCAAATCGTCTGGCTTTAGTGCAATTCGATTAGTAAAACTTCGTCAAGATATTGAAAGATGCTTAAAGCATTCTTACACGTTATGTACTTCCATATGAAAATGCTACTTTTCTGCTGCGCTCTAATATATGGTACACACGAGTACATACGTACGAAAAAGTAGCATTTACATATGCAAACAAACATCTTGTAAGAACCCTGTTAGTGATGAGCTTTTCATTCCACGCAAATCTCATACCGCTGAGACTTTTCTTCAGGTCTGGAAACAAGAAATATTCAGACGCGACTTTTTTATCGAAATTTACAAATTTCCTCAAAGTTTTCGGCTGTCAATGGTCATCAAACCTAAACTAAATGACTCAGAATCAGTGACGCATTTGAAACTACTACAAAGAAAATTCGAAAGGTAACTGACTTATCAAACTGTCGTCATAGGTTAAGCTAGATTAGCTGAACGGTATTTGACGACTTTAGGAAGCCAATAAAATATTTGTTTGCTATATTTAATTAACTTAAACAAGTAAAAAAGTCTAAGTTCGAGTGGAGCCGAACATTAAATACCCGGCGTAAGTATTAGATATAGTTTTTCACCTTTCTAAAGACTATTGTTACATGGTAAGAACAATGGTTTTACCTCTATTTCTGACAATTTCTATAGTATGTTCAGTTATACTTAATGAGATATACTAATATAGTTAGATGTGGGCGGTATCACGCCCACTTTCCAAAATTCTATAATAATGTTACTTCTTTTCAAGGGATTGCTGTTAGTATCGATTTTTAATAAATTAGCGTCCTTAGATTTCGAAGTATCGAAGTTTCAAGAATTTCTAAAATTTACCGTTATATGAAAAGTGGGAGTTATTTTAGTCCAATGTCAATAGTTTTTAACGTTTAGCTTTTATGTGGTAAGCGAAATAATCTTACCAAGTCTGGTACAAATTGATCCAACGGTTACCGAGATATACATACATACCTGGTCATAAGTGGGCGGCGTGAAGCCCATTTTCCAAAATTTTATCATAAGCATGTTTTTTTTGCCAAAGAATTATTTCCAACATCAATTTTGGATAAATTACCTATCGGTTTTTACTGATTTATCGAAGATTTCGTATTTCTCTAAATTACCGTTATATTGGAAGTGGGCGTGGTTACGGTCCGATTTCGGCCATTTTCTATAACAACCTACATTTTGTAAAGGGCAATCCACATACTAAATTTCGTTGATATATCTCAAGTTTTGCACGAGTTATCTTCATGGGCGTTCGCAGGTACGGGCTGGGGGCACTAGGCCACTTCAATACTCATGTAAAAATAAGATTACTGTTAATTTCTTCATGATCCAATAATCGGATCTAAACCAAATTAGGATGGGACCGCATCTGAGGTACCACCTTTCCTTTTAAAAAGAATTATCGAAATCGGTTATGCTGTAACATATGTATGTACATAAAAAAAATATTCCGACGAATAGACAGAGAAGGCTGTCTTTTTCTGAAGTCGGTTAAAAATAATGAAAAAATTACGATTTTAGTGTAAAGACGAAGTCGCATTTTAAAATTTGCATGCAATTAAGGTAACTAACAAATTTGAATTTTAACTCTTCAATAAGTTCATAATAAACTGTATGCAATATAATTTCCTTTTTAGGGCTCGGTACAACTCAATTGTTACAAAAACAAGTAGTTTTTAAGCAAAAACACAACCGACTTCAATCCTCATATAAAAATTTAGAAGTACCGTTTATTTCTTCATAATCCAAAGATCGGATCTAAACCAAATTACTATGGGGGCTCCCCCGAGACAACAGAAAAAGAATTATCGAAATCGGTTAATGTGGTCCAAAGCTCGCCGGGTCTGCTAGTTCTATATAATAATGTGAATTTAAAATTGCTTCGAGAGGGCATCATTTACAATTAAGAGGAAGTACTTTTCAATGAATTGAAGAAGATATTTCATCAAATTAAGAAGCGTTTCCTTTTAAACGATGCAATCAAGCAGATTTTCTCTATGGCTTTTAAAGATATTCCTGTAAATAAAATCAATAAGTCTAGAAACTTTTCATAGAGACAATTTCTTCTTTCTATGGGTGTTTTCCAAAGATATAATAATGCAGTTTTTTAGGGCCAGTTTCTCAGAGCTGGTTTGAACTCAGTTTAAATTTGAACTAAGTTTAATCGACTGACCGGTTTTTCATGGCGAGTTTAAGGCCGCTTCATAGTTTAGTTGTTTTCAGCTATTTACTTTTACTTTTCTGAAAGATTATAGACGAAAAATTAAAGGATTTGTTAGGTGCTTCATGTGTTGCCCGACCGAATTGCCCTATGCAAGTAAACTCCAACTCAAGGCGCATCCATATAAGGTGGTGGCAATTGCATATAAGTAAAAGTCCCGTGTATTTTGTTATTGTTTTTTGGTACATCAGGATGTCAAAAAGAAAGAGAATAGGAGATAACGTTTGCCATTTCGTCTAGGATGACATTCTCCTGTACTAGTGTAGAGACAAAAATATCCAATCAATGCTCCAACTCAAGTTGCGTTTGTTCATTTTCTTGTGCACAATTTTCTTCTTACGTATGAGCATTTCGCTTGTTTATGTATGTATGTGCCGCTATTCAAATGTTTATTTTCGTGTATTTCGCAAATAATTTTAATTTTTTTTCTACTTTTTCATCTCAATTTTGGCAGCTGGCTACAAATATACAACTTAACAGCTGATAGTTTAAACTCGGTATAACCCAGCTAGATTGGATTGGAGATTTGACTGAAACTTAAACTTAGTTTGAACGACAAACAGAATTAAATTCGCACTGAAAGACTGGCCCTTAACATAGCTTTAAGATTAGGGCATTACCAATTTTTTTTTGCAACAATTAGTTAAAGACAGATTTATGTACTTTGGTCGAGGTGCGAAAAGCTAATTCAATAACCAAATTTGTTCTGCATAATATTTTGATGCAAAGCCAATACGATGGCACGTATGTATGTGTGTACTCGAGTGACGCAAAACAAAATAAAAATTTAACAGCGTGCGTAAATAAACAGCGTGCGTTAATCTAACGCTGGACTTTTATGTACAAGTACTTCCGTCAAATTTCTCATTGAAAAATGATTGAGGTACTCAAAGCACACTTTCGGGAATCACATTCTGCAATGGTTCGAAGTTCTACGCTTATTTCTTGTGAAGTTAATAATGAAGTGGAGCGTTGCTTTTTATATGTATATGCATTAGGGGGTTCACAAAACGCGTTAAGCGTCGTAACATTGTTTTATGTAGAATAACGGCCTGAGGGTACGATTTCAGGCTAGAAAAGTAGAAAAAAGTGAAGTTATCATTGGCATACATATATGTTATTTAGATAAGCTTCTTAATATTCCATACAAAGTCCTACCGACCAATGCGCCAATTAATGGGACTTTAATACTGGTATTCACTGTCATATTGCGACGCCAAAATTTGGCGACATATTTTGACACAACTTTATCTCCTTTATCCATACCTTTACCGATGATATTATGGGCGACAAACTGGCAGATTGCCGATTTAGCAGCGCATGTACACGACCAAAGAACTATCCTAATCCCATTCGAAAATGTGTTTTCACTTATTTGACGACAAATGCCACAGAATTTGACATAGTGAAAACCAGCCTAAACAGTATTGGTTTAGAACTTTCAAATCCAATATTGCCCAGACCTTCACAGAGCGTCAAATCCTGGTAAAGACTTTAGAACAACAAATCGACGCGCACCATCATTTTGTCGATTTTAAAGCCGTTTCTGATAGCACGAGAAGAAGCTGCTCGTACGAAGCCGTGCCTAATTTGTGATCGAACTGCGCTAATTATGTTTCAAAACGAACTTTTTGGAGCCACTTAAATTTTTTGATCAAACCCAATGGGCCTCACGCACAAAAATTTGGCTTCAGCTCCGACTCTATTTTCAATGAAAATTGTTGTTAAAACATGATTTTTTTATTGATTGGCATTTGAGTTGCCACATCTGTAGTTGCAAAACGAAAAGGAGTCACCTTTTAATTCGTGTTTTTTTTTTGTAAAGAAAGTTTGTTATAAAAACTACTCGTACAGTGGCTATTTTTGAAAAATGTTGCCAAATTATTTTTACTTACTTACTTATGTTTACTGAAAAGTTAAAGGGGGTTGCTTTTGCAGCAACAATATTGCAAACGGCTTTCAATTTCTTGTATTCCATATTAATTTTCTCAGCAAAAAAAATTAAATACATATATACATAATTGTTAACCTAAGTATGGTTGTTCGAAATAGCTGAACACAAAATCAATTCCAATATTTCACTCACAGACAACGACTTTGACCACCTGCCAAATAGTTGTCGGTCGCTTTTTACAAAAGCAAAAGACACCTTTATTTGAAGTTTGAAGTTTTTTTATCAAATACCAAGGACATCAAATTTATTTTTGTTAGTAGTTGAATGGAGGAGGTGCTTATTGACGCTGGCTAGGATCCAGGATCAATTCATAGATCTCACAACAGCCAAACAATCCAACTTTAGAAAAATCGTCTGCAGTTTAGAGTCGGCTTTAAACAGTAGGTTCCTCTATTTGTTGGACAACATCAAAATGCATACCACAAATTAGAGCAGAAGCTCAGTCATATACTTAACAAAAATTTCGAACACCAAATATGTATTAATTTACTTGCTATTTCGTCATCGAAATATGAATTTGCATAGCTCAGTATGAGAGATGTTTAATTCAAAAACCCTTAATTTTTTTTTACATTACAACACTAACCTTCTCCTTGAGAAACTTCATATCTTCCTCCATCGACTTAGATTCCGGATGTCCTTCAGGATAACCGCCCACACCGATAGATATTGTGTCTGCAGATAAAAAGAAAGGAAGAAAGTTAAATCTTGAAAAGCTTTCGACTAGCAATAAATAATACACGTGGCAAAAATTAGGTAAACAAACAAAAATTACTTCAGTACACCTCTCTACAGCAATAAATATATACTTATGACCGCTTAGTATTGTAAATTCATTGCACTATCAATTTGTATAATCAACAATTAAGTGCGAACGTTATACCATCACATGCAATAAGCGGCTACTTAACTTGCACTGAGTTAATAAAGTGCATAACAAAAACACAAACAACTAACTAGGCAAGTGACTACTTTGGAAATTTTTGAATCGCAATAATAAATCAATTAAATAACTGACAAAATACTCATCATCATCAAACCAATAGTAACAAAATTATAACTGTCGTCGCAATCTAGAACTACATATGTACATTAGGGCGGTTCTTAAATGTAGGAAGCAAATTTTTGTAGTCGAAGATATCACATGTAAATATTGGTCCCGATTCGAGACGGTTGAGGCGTGTCGCACAGGGGTCAAAGTTCAGATTGCCCCATGAAGACGTCTTAACCAACTCCAATCGGAACTAGAATTTATATGTGATATCCTCGACTTTAGTATCTAGTATCGATTTTGGGCATTAAAAAAAATTTATAATTTCTTGAGTCCTTAGAGGCATCTGGTCTTTGACCCCTTTGCGACACGCCTTAAACGACTCCAATCGGGGCCAAAATTTATATGTGATATCTGTGACATCTGTGTATTATCGATTGAGGGGGTGAGACCTAAAAAATCCTTCATTTGATTTTTTAAGGACCACCCTAATGTTCATACACACATACATTCATACATACATACATACATATGTACTCACCACCACGCTTGCCACGCATATATTCCACCAATTCCTTAGCGTGCTGGAACTGCTGCTGCGCATCCACCTGATCGCCTCGCAGTGCCAACACATTCGCGAAGTTGAGGCTCAAAAAATCGTCGAGTCGCTTTGAATCGGCGCGATAGCAAGTAAAATGTGGCATTACCACCATACGCGATTGCAGTCGTCGTCCCATCCCTACCGCATCCACCGCTGTGACGTTCGCAACATTGGCATAGTCCAGCCCCAGCCATACCAGCGAGGTGAAGAGTGGCAACAAGGTGCCAAAACTATCATAGTCCAGTACTGTTTGTTGTTTGCCATAGGAACGCGCTGTCAACTCGATGCCGTAGAAGAACTCTTTGGCAGCGATTTTTTCTTTAAAAAGCTCTCCCAGTCTACGCTCTTGCGGTGGCAACTGTTTGGTGGAGAAGTGTACATGCAGAGATTGAAATCCCCCGATCGATGCATTTGATGTGGACGGCAGAAGACCGCCGCCGATTGTCGCTGGTACAAAATCGGGATTATGCATTGTGTATATGTATGTATGTATTTGGTTTGCGGTTTTTACACTTGTTCTTACACCTTTTCTTACACTTTTAAACGAACGGAAATTGTTCTTGAAATTACTGTTACAAGTTACGACACAATTTCTTAACTAGGTTCTACATCCGTTGCTTGTGCCCGTATTCGTGGGCGATAGCGATCTGATTGGGGAATCGTGTTGGAGGCAACTAACAACGATGGCAGTGGCGAAGCGTTGTTTCATTGTGGCTTTTGAGCGTAGCGTAAAAAGCTTTCGCGTTGCTTATATTTCAACTGTATACAATGTGTACATACGTATGTACATCTGTTTTCTGTTGTTGTCAATGGTAGTTTGGTTAATTCAGTTGTTGAAAATGGGTATGCATACGGGGGTTTTACAATTCGAAAAACTGAAAGAAAAAAATGTTTTGCGTTACCTTAAGAGTATTATTGAAATAAACAAAAACAAAAAACCTATTACAAATTAATACGTAATTTGACCTTAAAGCGCTGCCTGTAGTTTTTCACACATAACAGCATCATTTTCTGCATACTGATTTAAGAAATTTTGTTAGAAGAAATTTTATTTTTTATTTATAAGCTTTTATTCAACTTGGTCATCTCGCGCAAATCGCGGAAATTTCCAACCGATTTTAAACTGACTTCCCGACAAGTTAGAGACTTGATATTTTCAGCATAGTTCCAATCACGATGACAATGCAATTTGAAATGAAAATGAATTCTCCATATGGTCCAGGGGTCTTGATTCAAAGGCGGTCAAAAAATAGTAAGATTTATGGCTAACAGAGCGTAATTTGCCAAAGAACGTAAAACCACTATAAAATTGTTAAAGCTGCCGGCGCGCCGCGGCGGTAGTGTAGCAAAGCTATTCCTAGTCTAGATATGAACCTCGTTGTAGGCATCATATCAAGGAGATACAATTAAAAGACTCCAGATGTCGCCCCGCTAGAAGAAGTTAAATATTGCGCCTAAATATATGTCATGCTACAGCGGAAATGGACGACACGCTATTTCTTTAAATAAAATTAACTGCTGCTATATGTACATATGTATGTTTATACAAAACGTAAGCAAACAACATTTTGCTTGCCAAGTCTTCTGTTCTCTTTCATTGCAAGTTGAATTATTTTAATATCTATTGCAAAATTTTGTACGTAAAATAAAATAACACTTTTTAATATACATACAACGCTTTTATAAATGAACTAAAAATTATAAAATAAAATAATGTAAAAAAAAATATTTTTTAAAAACAAGCTTTTATTTAACCTGTACAATCAAAGGAATAAAATGAAGTAGTGTAACAAAAGATTTTTTAGCAAGAAAATTTTGTCAAAACTGTACTAAATTGAATAAAATATGTTAAGGTCTCGTTAAAGTTACTACAAGCCATTTAGGGAAAGGAGTTATTCAAACTCTAATGAAAATTACTAACAATTTGTACTAATTTACTTCGATTTTAAAAAAGCTTGTCGGCGAATTCAGCGTACATGCATAATTGGTTAGGTATGTATGTATGCAGATATTTAAATGCCGGTTTGCTATTCGCGCGACAAGCTTTTTTAAAAACGAAGTAAATTAGTACAAATTGTTAGTAATTTTCATTAGAGTTTGAATAACTCATTTCACTAAATGGCTTTTAGTAACTTTAACGATACCTTAACTTATTTTATTTTACTCATTTTATTGCAGTTTTGACAAAATTTTCTTACTAAAAAATCTTTTGTCACACTACTTCATTTTATTTCTTTGATTGTACAGGTTAAATAAAAGCTTTTTTTTTTAATATTTTTTTACATTATTTTATTATTTCTTTTGCATCATTTTATATAAATTTTACGTTTTTCTTAAGAGCTGCATCCAGCACCTAAAAGTCTACTTTATTACCTCCTACACTCATTTGAAGAAATTACTACTGTACGAGGTGCGGCCAGTGATCGGACTTCTACCACATTGTGGTAGATCTGCCACTCTTTTGAGCATCTACCACACATGATCCGAAATGTACCACATATTCGCGTTTTTGAGTAGTTTTATTTTTGATCGACATAGTTTTCTTAATTTTAAGAGCAAAAATTGTCCAACAATAAACACTTACAACGAAGCCGAATGGGAGGATAAAATAAACTGTAAAATAGTAAATTTTCTCAATAATCAATTTTTCGATAGGAAACGTGGTTTTATTCTATTATTTCAAATTAAAAAAAAAATTAGGCTTGCTACCAGAGTTTGAAAAATTTAATTTTTTCTTTTAGATCACAAAAATTTTACTTTGACTAGCTATAACTCAGCGAGTTTATCAATTTACTATAGGATTTCAGATTTCAGGTCCAACTAATTTTTTGAATTTTTGCGAGATTATGAATTTATATGAATAAGCTTCAATAATATGAGAAATAAGGGCAACCCCGTTTTTTTTTTTGAATGGTTGCGGTTAGAAAGAAATTATTTTTTTTCGATCCCTCAAAATGTGTTTAGAATTTTGAAATTTTCGTGGTCGTCTTTATTTTGTACGTATAACTAAATAATGGGGCGCCCCATATAAAATTTAGATGTTGATCTTGGTGGAGAACCCGAAACTAGTCCTTCCACAGATAAATAAAAAATATCGCAAAAATGTATGGTATGTACATAGTAGTTGATTTTTGCAATTACGTTTACGTCAAGTGCACCAAGCAGGTTTTCGAAATGCTGACCATCCGCTCGCCTTCTCCACACTATTACCTCCGGTGTAAACTTTGCATCAATGAGTGAATATGGAATGCAATTCTCTGGTGTTTTTCCAAAACTGTTCAAGATATTCTTAGGCTTTTTGCCGCACTTTTCAAAATTCTTCATTATCTCTTCGGTCTTAAAAAAACGCAATTATTGACTCTTCTTGCTTTCGGGATATTTCGTGTTATATTTTCAGTCTTTTTTTGTCGAACTCTTCAGGATATTTGAGATTTTTCAAGATATTTCATGTTATATTTTTAGAATTTTTCGCGTAACTTTTCTTGATTTTTAGAGGTTTTCATGTTATGCTTTCGAAATTTTCCTCGAAAGTTTTTTTTTTGGATATGCTGGGATTACTTGGAATTTTTGAGACTATTTCGTTATTTCCATGATTTTTTGAAACTCTTCGTCTTTTGCCTTCAGTTTTCTTAAGAACTTTGGAAATAACTTCGGGACTTTTCTGATGATATTTTTCTTTATTTTTTTCTTGCTTCCGAGCTTTATGTGACTATTTCGGAATTCTTAGAGTTCTTCCTTGCGGGATTTTTTTAAGAACTTTTTAGTTTTTGACATTTTGTGATTGTTTCAGTATTTTCGGGACTTCCCGGCAGTAGCTTCATATACAGAATTTCTTATTCTTTTTGTTTGGCGCTTGAACCGCCTCAACGGTTTGGCCGACCCAACAAACCACGACAGTCGTTTATCTTCTGTGCCAACTGACATCAATTAGACAGGTTCTGCAATTCACTTCCGAGTGAATTTCAACCCCTGCCAATTTGAATTCAAAGCGAATGTAGGAGCTTTAAATCAATTAACATTGCACGAGGTCATCTAGCAAAGCAGTCACAGCGGCATGCGCCTCTGTATATAAAAAATTTCAAATCAAAAACTCGAATTTGAATTATTAGTTTATTTATACGTAGTACATAGCTGCCATAAAGTCTATGTCTTTTTTACTATTTTTTGCAATACTATATGCTCTTGTTGCTGCTCAAAATTGAGTCGAACTCTCGCTAAAACTCTCGCTAAAAGCTTAACAGTTTTTGTTGTTGTTTTCAGAGCAATTGTCTGCGCGCCGGTGTGAATCATTATCACTACAAGTACTTATTTCATGTACACTTTTTTACTTCAACATTTGATTCGGCAAACTACTACTTCCGCTGTGAGATAAGCGCATGCATCAATATGACCGTCCATTAGACCGTACCACCTTACAAGCAAACAAAAAAAAGTTCGCGGTACACCCCTTAGTTTAAAGTATTTTTGCAAGGCAATTTCCTTTTTGCTGAACCTAGGGGTCGCCATTTTAAAATTTTCGGTGACATCTACTCTTAATAAAATTTTTTCATTTGCATAGTTCTACTGGAATAATCCAAAGACGTCCTTTTAGCAACAGTGTAATTATTTTCGGTGAGATTTAAATTACTGACATTAGGGTGATACGTTAGGGGGTTAGAAAAATATATCTGGTGGGAAAGTACTAGAACGGGGTACTTGAGGTCAATGAACTTGGACTTGTCGTGCTTTAAGATCCGACTGTAAATGTTAGGGCATTCGATTATTGGTTATTTTTCCAAAACCGGTTTTCGAGTTATTCGAAAAATTGCAATTAAATTCTTTCCCCGGTTCCCGATTTCGAAGTTAAGAAAAAACCGGATAAACCGGTTTTCCTATACATCGTTTTCGTGCAGGAAAAATGCTTATATTGGTATGATATCGTGACCAAAAATTGCAATAAAACTTTTATCAGTGAAGATAAAACTTTTATTTAGAAAAGAGCAAAGCAATATACGTTCAAAGTTTTTTTAAGAGCAAAGGTAAAAGAAATAAAAATCTGTGAAAAATTCTCTTTTTTTCATTTTAACTTTTTTTTAATAATCTATTGCTGCCACTCTATGGTTTAATTTCTGGTGCCAGCAACATCAAAAAAAAGTTGTTTCCAATAGCCGTCGCCCCACGGCAGGCAGTGCCAATGCTCAGGCATGAAAAAGCTTCTTCTGAGGTGAAGTTAGAGTGTAAATTTGTATCACAACATCAAGAAGCAGAACACGAATTGGAGGAGCAGCTCGGCCAAACACGTAGAAAATGTTTAAGCCCCAAAACATTGATTTATTGTAATCTTCACATTTTTTTGCGAGTTTCGGGAATATGGTAGAAATTTAGTAGCAGGCACATCTGCGCTTACTCAGGTATGAGTTTAAACTACTGCAGTAGTCAGAGCTATTGTGGTCCGAGTCTCCCGAGGCAGACGAAGCTCCGGCTCGTCTATGTCTGGTGATTGTGTACCCCGGACGGACTCGACCTGTGAGAGTCTATGTAACTTGCGACTGACTCCTTGTGAATGCCGTTCAAGGCGTTTTGGTGTGCTGTCGGGTACAGAGGTTGTTTATGAACCTCTGAAATTCGGCCGTTAGTTCGTATAGATGCCTTCTAGCGCGTCGTGGCGATGGTGCTTCTGCAAGCGTCAGTGGCACCCTACTAGGAGTTGCTTGCAGAGCATTGTGTTATCCTCCTTGATTTGGAGCATTTGAGCCTCGTCATTTAATGGATGTTTCTGCGACATCAGAAGGCATCCGGACGCTGTCCGGGCTGCCGTGTTTTGGCAGGTCTGTAGCTTCGTCCACTGAGTCGTACTAGACGCCGGCGACCACACCGTTTAAGTCCCGGTGGGAGAAAGGAAACCTCAATATATTCTCGTAGCGTGGAGTGACTGACGGTGTCAAACGCCTTTGACAAGTCCAACGCTACTCTCTCAAAAGAGCGGTTTCGGTTTAGGCGATTTGTTATCTGAGTGTTTATGGCGTTAAGCGCTGTTGTTGTGCTGTGCAGAACCCATTATGATCTTCGCTGGGGTCAGGTGATTTGTAAAGTATGGAGTAGCAAGGCCTCAAGTCTCTTTGCTACCTGGGAAATGAGTTATCAGGCGATAAAACTCCTCTGTTGGCCGGTTTCCCCGGTTTGAGCCGTGGAACCACCCTCCCCATTTTCTATAGGTCTGTAATTATGACGGTGGCGTTAGACAAATTGAGAACCTTGGTAAGGTAATCTACTCCCGTAGGACCCAATCTTTTCAGCAGCAGCATGCATATACCGTCGGGACCCATGTAGGCTTGCGCCTTCCCGGTGGCTACCTGAACCTCACCGCTGGTGAAATAAGAGGCGCGCTTTGTGTTGGCATTTTATGCAGCCTTCTGGTCACTTGACATGTGGTCTTTTCCGCCGGAGGATGCAGCGTAAATTGTCGGCTAAAGTAGTTCGCGCATCGCTCCGGGTCCGACGAGGCGCGGTCGCCAAAAGAGATTTTAACTCTGTCGTCACACTCCGTCTGATTGGACAATGATCTCAGGGTTGACCAATGCTTGCTTACACCAGAGACGAAGTTGCAAGTTTTCAGATGCTCTTCCCACTTCTTCCGCTTATGTTCGTTTACCAGTTGCCGAATCTCAGTGTTGAGATCCCTAGCGGGCTGCAGCGGCAGTGACAACCCTGCGGAACTTGCTCTCACCACGTGAACGTCGATTGGTGTGGGGAGGGCAGAAAAGGTGCTTTCAGTAACTTCCGCGAAGCCGTTCCAGTCAGCTTTAGAAAAGCTTTGTTCCGCGTAAGCAAAGTCGGCAGTTTTATCAATCGAGATGACTATGAGCAGTTGATCTGAGGAAGGTGCCGCCCAGTGGTGGTGGTAGTGGGCGGCGTCGCGGTTGGAACTTGCGACCTAGCAACACAAGACGGGCCCTCGAAGTTCCTCGCCCAATCTCGTGTGATGCGCAGACCAGAACATGCCCTAAAGTCATACCAGCCAAGGCAGGTGTGGCACTTGACTGATGTCACATTACGGAATATCCTGGTCTGACACACCGAGCGGATTGTCGGAGGAACTAAGAATTTTTGGCGGTGGCGTGTGGGTGGTGTGCCGTGATGTTTTTGTTGAATTGCTCAGGCGCACACTGAAGTCCCGCGGAGGCAGCTCGGTTAGAGCAGCAAGGGGCCACGTGTGAGGTGGTCCATTGCCTATGGTTCTGAGGCCTGAGCAAACTCGGATACGACTCCACCCGTTGCATGAGTTTCACCTGACAGAGGTGGGTGGAGTTGTGGTGTAGTCGTCTCTAGCACACGCAGCAGTTATATGTTTCTGGCCCAGGGTATGACTCGATGCCTGCCTGAGTACAAGTATGCAAAGCAGATGTAGCCCTATGGACGTACAACTTTTGAGGGATTTCGCCGACCTAAGCGGGGCTAGATCGCCGAACGAACAGCCCCTGGTCGAGTAAAACCCGAGTCATTCCGGTACGTAGAACCGGCTGTCTTGAGAATGAAAACCTTTCCCTAGTTATACTGCTGTTATTACGATTTTCACACAAGCCGGCGCACAGTGGAACCAAACGGGAATTTACTATACTAAATAAGTAGAGCCTTCATCTTTCAACCGATCTAGAACAAATTGGTAGCATAATTTAAGAAAAACGATTAACTTGTTCCTGTAATTAAATGTTACATAATAAAAAAAAAATATTTTAAAGCAATAATGTAGTTCCCCTAAACGGAAAAAATGCAAAAATAAAAATTTAAATTTGTAAAAAAAAAATATACAAAATTTGATTTTTTTCAGAATTTTCAGAAACATTTTAGGTATTCAGGTTTATGCCCTTCTCTTTGATCCGTTCCCACGACAGTCGGGTCTACGTAACCGGAACGACCCAGATTTATATCTGGTCATGGACTGTCACTCCAGCATCATTCCCCAAAAAACTCTTTGATGAATTTGTATGTTGTTACAACAAAAACAACATGTAGTGGTTATGTATGTATGGAAATAACGATTTTCAAAATTTTAAAATTTCTGGCAAACATAATATGAGGATTAATTTTAATATCCTTAATAAACGCAACGTATGAATCACAATTCCAAAACTTTTTCAGCATCCTTGAAATCATTTTGTACACAGTTGTAAACTTAATATTAACTTTATTGAGTTAGATAGATCTTTTTTTTAATTTGCCTTATGATTACAAAATGGTTTAAATTATTTTATGTATACATATTTCTTACAAATGGAAATATTATATTTGATTTTCTGTTATCTTTTGGCAAATGACATTACTATGCTAAATCTCCTCACTTTATTTTAATTTTTAGCTTACATGAGTGAATTCACAGTGGCGAAGAGCAGGTGAGCGTTTTCTAGTTCGATGCTTTTAAAACATGTACAGTTGGCTATTTATTGCTCAATACTATTTATTTTCACGTAGTAATTGTAACAAATAAAAATATTTTTTCTTGTGTTTTGAAAGTAAATGTTTTTGTGTTGCTTTAACTAGTGCGTTACTTCACACTTTATTTTTCGTTCAACACAATGATTACACTTATTAAATGGAAGATTTATTTTGCAATAAAACAGCAGAATTCTAATATGTATGCAAGTTCCCTTCAGATATCCAGCTTAAGCTGAAAATTTAAATTGTTGGAAATACAGAATTTAGAAAATTTATTAACTAAAGTTTGAAACAAAGTGTTAAAATAAAATAATAGAAAATGTATAGTTAATTATATAAAAAATATATATACATATATACAAATATAAGTATTTCCAAATGTGTCATAAATTTAATTCTAAACAATTGAGCATGCATACACGTGTACATATACATATGCAACGAACAGCAGTAAAAATATTTTTGAATTAAAAATAATAATAATTATAATTTGCACTAACAGCGATCGTTTTGCAGTCACCTTTCTTTAATATTAAAATAATAAATTTAGTTGTGTTGTGTCGCCTATGCAATATATTTTTTTTTACAAAAAATTATAAGCTTTCATTTACTTGCAAGTATTATGCTTACACAAAATAATTATATATTTTTATTTTTATTTTTTTTTATATGTATATATTGTTTTTCTTCTCGTATGTATGATCTTATTTGCTATTAATTGCTGCTCCATTTTTGTAGCGCCGCGAATTAATCTATGCGCTCTTATGCTATGTAATATATAATGTATGTCTGTTTTTCGCTATTCTTTCATTCACTATTTTTATGTTTAATTTTGTTGTAACATTTTGACATTACCGTAATTATATTATACATAAATACATACATATATAAAACTGTTTAAATATTTTTTGTAATTAGCTATATCCTATCGCAGTCCATATTTGACGTCTGTCATTTCTTTTTGATGCGCTGTACGATCCATTCGAGACCCTGATAAAGACTGTAAATGAAAGAAAATGTATTAATGAAAAATAACTAAAAATTATTTGTTTGTAGCACAGAGCAAGGAAACGAAATGTTGCAAAAGTTCGCAAACAGGGCTGCAGATGTAAGTCGTTTGAAAATATATGTACATATATATTTGTGCGAAAGGATTATTTTTGATAGAATAACTTGTTAATAAAATAATTTATTTATAGTAAAACGAAACTTTGGAATTATCATAATTTTTAGCGCACTTTAATAAGCTTTGGAAGGCTTTGGAAAATTAAAAAAAAAAATCGAAAAAAAGATGCTGCGATCAGGGATAACGCGATCTATGTGAAATCGATGTAGGGTAGGGGGCTGAAGAAGTAAGCGGGTCTTTTATTCGGTGTGCAAAGAACTTGGAATGCTGGCCTACAGGAAATACTTCCGAAAATAACATCAGAAAATTAGGCAATTTACGGAAGGTTTCCAAACCATCATGTTAAATTGCCGTTACAACAAAGACACCTACATATTGACCGATGTCCAGAGCGTGCTGCTGAATTGCTTGGCTTGCACTTCCCATAGAAATTGGCACAGACGTTCTAGCCCTGAAAGCGCCAGCTGGTAGAAGACGAAGTATTCCTCTGGGATGAAAGACCAGGAGGAGGACTTGGCTTCATATGGGTTTTCCAATTGGCACAGAAGAGAAGCATTCTAGAGTACTTTATTCGACGAGGCCGAAACCACTTAGGCGACTACAGCCCCAAACAAGAAGAATGCAATTATTGAAAGGAATCGACGATCTAAGCAGGGTTATATCGCCGAAACAAACAGCCCTTGGGTGGGTAAAACCCCCCGTAATTTCGATACGTAGAACCGGCTCCCAGTAAGTAAGCACAAAATCATGCTAAGCAAGCAGTTTCTGGCACGTCAGATGACATAAGTACTAACTGAATGATTAGATCAAGGACTATATTGAACAGCCATTGCTTTCGCCGCTGAACAGACACGCATTAAACGCCATTCATACAGCATAGACACCGTCAATCCCTTTACTATTTCTCGATCCGTGAATGCAGTGCAACACCAACCAATTGCAGGACAAGAGCTTCAGCTGCCTCGCGTGACCTTCGTTACTCGGGCACACTTAGGGAATTGTGTATTGTAGTAGGCTGAATATGTATGTTCTGGATGTAAAAGTAACCAGCTTCATACTAACAACCATTTCATATACTCCCTCAATCTCACTCAACTAACGCTGCTCTCCATTTAGTCCGACCCCGAAATGGCACATTTTCTAGGCCTACCGTTAGTTAAACCGGACGAAAAAGATTAGCTGATTTAGGCCGGACTAAGTAGCAGCTACAACAATAACAACAAGATTGCGACGAAGATGTGACACAAAAAAATATGTTCTTCATTTTTTTAGAGAAAAAAATACGCTGATCATGTGAAATGCTTTATGAAATACTAACGGACCAGACCTGTTAAATAATGATTAATAATAATCATAATGATTATTAATTAAATCATGTTTTTTTTTGGTAACCATTTAATGATTAAATACGATTAATTAATTAATTAATTTTGAAAAAAATCTAAGCTAAATGAACATTTTAATTAATTATATTCAACAATTTTTATTGAACTTGACGCCGTTTTTAATGAAAAACTATTGTGGAAAAGCAACAATAATTTTGAAAAAGTGGTAGAAGTGATAGCTATTTCGGGAATCACCACATTTCCTCATCAGACTTCTTTAAGTAGGATTCGAACCGACGACCCCAGCCAGTTGCCTACGCACTGTGCTATGTTCGTCTTATAAACTGTTGTTGCTTTTTCCACTTTTTTCATGTGAGCCAACTACAATCAAGCGCAGCTATTCCAGTGCTATTTAAACTTGATCATGTGGTTGTTGGTTTTGTTGTTTTTGTTAATAATTCTATTTTTTAATTGTTTAACTTTTAGGTGTGCTCGTCCTTAAGTTATTTGTTTTTATTTTGTTATTGTTGTATTGTAATATTGTAATTAATAATTTAATGCCGATTTTAAATTGCAGCAATTTCCTGACGTTGTGCCGAAGGATATTAACTCTACCTGTTCTCCCCTTTTTTCGATTAGCGATTTAAAAAAAATATACCGCAACTTTCTTCTAACTCGACTTAAGCTGTTATGATTTGCCAGTAAAGATATGTATATAACCGTTCAAACGTCTTACTCTTTTTTAAACAAACTGCCTTACTATCAACATTAAGCAATTGTGTGACTAGAATATATAAAATCTGAGTTGTCTAGATTAAGCATTTAAAAATGTGTACTTACAAACATATGTATTTCCATTACTACTGAAATTACTTCTTATACAATTTTGAATTTCATTTGCCATACGAGCCTGGCTAATTTGCAAAACTAATTCAGACGCTCCAACCAGCTTACAATATTAATTCTATCATGCTGGTAATTTTGAATAACATTACTATAATTTTTTTTAATCTCTGGAAAATATCGATTTTTTACGCTTTGCTTTTGTAATGCTAGAGGTATAAAATCGTACTTAAAAATCGAATTACAAAAATGCTTTATTCTAAGCATTTTAGATTGCTTCAGTTTGAATACTTCTATAGCCACGAATGTTTGTTTACGTTTTCTCTTTACACAAAAACCCATAGTATGTATTTATATAATACTTATTGGCCATGCTCATCAAGTGAGACAGGCCATGAAGTGTACTTAAATGTACTTCACGCAATCAGAAATATTTTTAGATTAAATGAACACAAACCAATTGCGTCACAACTATGTACATATATACGTAAATATACAAATTGGTACATCTCGTAGAACAATAACCCTTCCAAAATAAGTAATTGATAGCATTTCCTTGCGCATTTTTGTTTTTCTTAACAATATTAAAAATACATATTTGCTTACCCCTCGCCGGTGAGCGCACAACACGCTTGTATATGCCATTGATGTTTCTTAATCGAGGTTAAATCCAATTGACGTGAAATTTCCGCAGCTGACATTGCACCCTTGAGATCCTGTGCGAAAGTGAAAACAACAATAATAATTTAAATATAAATGAAATAGAGGCAGCAACGCGTCGACCAACCTGCTTATTTGCATAAACTAATAGACTGGCTTTACACAGATCCTCATGCTGAAGCATACGATAGAGTTCCTCGCGCGTCACAGCTAAGCGCTCACGATCTGTCGAATCGATTACCATTATGATAAACTGCGAAAAATAAGGAAATAGCACACATACAGTATTTTTAAAGTCACTAATACTTTGTTCAGATGGTATGTAGGTACCTCTGTATTTGTGTAGTAGGTGCTCCAGGCGGCACGTAAACTCTGCTGTCCGCCCAAATCCCACACCAGAAAGTGTATATTCCGCCACACCACCTCCTCCACGTTGGAGCCAATTGTTGGGCTGGTGTGTACGACTTCATTCATAAGGAATTGATAGAGTATTGTGGTTTTGCCAGCATTATCCAAGCCAACCATAACTAATTTGTGCTCTGTGAATAAATTGGAAGGACACAAGGATTAAATAATATTTTTTTTTTTTGCTAACAGAATTGCTGAAATGACTGAGATTGATTTATTGAATTGTTATGGCACTTCAAAACATTTCTTATCTAACTAACTGTTGTACTTAATTTTATTTTAATTAATAATTATCATGGGATAGCATACAGTGACTCAAACAAGTGTGCACATGTTGATTTTTTTTAAATATTCACAATGTTTTTCAAGTTAAATTTTTTTTAACATTCCTCATGCTTTAGCGCATATATGTATACAAATCAAAGTGTCAAACGTTAAAAAAAATAGAAAAATTCAACAAATTTTCGTCAAAATTTCGAAATTTTTAGAACATTTTCGGGTATTTCAGTATAACAAAGTGCAGGTTAGAAGCGGCTTAAAGATCGCGTTGACTTTTACTAACTGTTTTTGCTGACGGCTTTTGAGTTGTTTTATATAAAACAATTTTTTTTTTTTTATTCTTTTGCGACGGATCTTGCGCATTTTATTCCACATAGATATATAGGTATATAGAAAATCGCAACGCGAGTTTTTAGGCGGTTGCTCCATGCCACTAAAAATGTATGGGCTATAAAATGCATATCCAAAAATGTTCTGAAAATTGAAACTAAAGAGTGCAAAATTTTTATGAAAACTTTGTGAATATTTCTAAATCTTCGAAACATTGATCTATGTATATGACTCTATTTAAAGCTTGAAAAATATGTTTATAAAAGAAATAGCAAAAAATGTAAATTGAAAAACGGGAATATTAAAAAAAACATGTGATCACGTGTTAGAGTCACTGTAGGTATGTATGTATGTACATGTAGTGGCTGGCAATTTGGCAGTGATTTATGTATGTTGTTATCGCTAAGTTATTATCAGCAAAGGGTAAATTATTTGTTTTACTAGTTGGCAACTAAATATGTATGTACATACATACATAAATATATATGTAACGTTTATTTAATAACACATTTATAAATTATTTGCTGCCTTATTTTTTATCGAGCAGATTCAAGATAGATAAATGAAGAGCACTTTATACTACTTTGTCTCTTACTGAACTTTTGAGGTTATCTTCTGATAGCAGTGCACGTGTTTTATTGGTTTGTACAGGGCGTACAGGGGCTCTATTCTGTAACTGTGAGTTTTGAAGTGTACACTGAAAATTGTGTGCACTCTTCATTTTGCCATTCAGGAAGAGTGAGAATGAGTTTTAGCTGTCAAAATTGTGTACACTTCCTCATTTTGCGATTCAGCATGTGTGAGAATGAGTTTTAACTGTCAAAATTGTGTACACTTCTCTTCCGAAAAACTCACTGAATTTTAGTCGGTGAGTTTTTGGTTGTGAGTTTTGCACTCGGTGTACACTACATTTTCTCACAGTTACAGAATAGAGCCCCTGGATTATACCATTTACACATTTTAGGCGAATTGCAAAATTTGCATTCTTCTATCCAACAAAAAAAGTCGTAGCAAGTCGTAGCGGCTGCTTAAATCTACCTCGAATTCGAATTGGACCGGGTCTCCAGGCAGCTGAAGCCTTTAACTCGGGAGTTAGTTCCGGAGGTCGTTCTGCAGTTGAGGAAAAAGCCTTCTGGCGTTCTGGAGGTTCTGCTTCCAGCAAGTGCCTTTTCGTAGGGGAGGGTAGTAAGCTGCTTTCAGTGAAAGAGCGAGAAAGCTCGGCAAGATTATCGCTTTATTTTTAGCACAGGTCAATTTCATATACAGCAAAAGATATCAATGGTGTATGAGCTAAAAGTGCTACTTATACATATATCACATGTTATCCTAAAATACAAAAATGTTTTTGTTTTTCATACGAGAACCGACCAAGTCTAATGTATATATGTAGTACATACATACGTGTTCAGCGCTAGTCAATTATAAAAAAAATGGGTATGTATGTTTTACGAATGTACAAGTGCGTTTAATTGAAACAATTCTAATGGGAATTGGAGTGCCAAATGAAAACCAAAGTGTCAAAGAGCGAGTGCATAGTAGGGTAACACGCTAAATTCAGACATAAATATACATATGTATGTAAATATGTATACTGTGCATATTCCATGGCGCTGCATTTGGCGCTTTGAATAAATTAGCCTTAGCTCCAAATTGCTTAGAGGAGCAGTAACCTCCATATCGCCGCCTACAATAGGCATGTTGCTTACAGCAACCACGTTTTTGTGGTTTCAATACCACTTAATTAAACTTGCGAACACAAGTATTCATATAATTGCATACATATGTATGTATGTACAATAGGGTGGGTCACCAAAAAAGTCGCAGTTTTTTCACCAGAATTATATTATTATATTTCAAAACTTCCGCCACAATATTTCGAAAAA